GCTAGCTCTGCACGACTTGGTGGTGAATTGGTGTATGACAAGTTAGATATTGGGAGGGCCCTGTGGGAACGGGTGAATAGTGCAGAGGCGCAGATAGATCATTACGGTTTGAGGAGAATGGCGCTGCCAGGAGTTACCAGGCGATCTGGACGACGCTCAACACTCAGGGGAAGGATGAGACGGTTATACATTCAGACGGTTACTGGTACAATATGAATTGGAACTCTTTGCTTGCTGCTGAAGACGTGTACGGAACACTTATGGGAGTGCCATGAGTGTTGTGGTGTCGATTCCCAAGTCAACATTCTAGTCAATGACTCCAAATGACTGTAGGTCTGTCTGGACATTGTCCATCCATGGCCTACTCGGTCTGCCTCGGGGACCACTCACATCTAGCTCTTAAAGGAAATCTGAGCTTTTGAAGTGAAATACTACAGACACATTCTTAGAACGCCGTGGTGGACCAAGAAGAAGTAAAACGTCGACATCCTGCATGACCTGAACATTGAGGAAAACTGCCTCGTAAACAGCATCTTCTCACAAAAACTGAGGCATTGTGGTCTGGAGAGGACGGTGATAAAGGGAGCAGTTGCAGGAATGCAAGGTAGGGGCCGACGTGGATACAAGACACTGAATATGCATTGGCTAAGAAAACACACAGGGCTGGAGAAACAGCTAGAGGCAGAGAGACTTTCAGATGTGCCCAGAAGAGAGCCATGTTCTGTAAAGGGCATGCTGATTGACTGTTGGTTGAGCTGAGTTTCAATGAATGACATCCTAGCACTTGGGGCACTCCCATGCGTGCTCCGTCCTTATCTTAGGCAGCCAGCGCAGAGTTACAATACTAAAGGTACCGGTCACAATGTGGTTATCTGTCCGTCTTGCCTTTCCTCTGAGTGTAGTCAGCAGGCCAAACCCTCTGGTTACACCCAGATGTCTCATTTTCCCCAGACCATGATAATCTTGTTTCTCTACTGATTCCGTTGCTTGTTAGCAAAGGACATTGACCACATCTGCCTTGTCATGTATCAGTCCATCACCCAGTGGTGATTGACTGTGTACGTATTTCACCAATACAGATAATGCAAAAATTACACAGCTGGGTAAATCATCAATAAGTCGTAAAAAAACAAAGGTCCCTTTTTCACGTCTTCAGGCGTATAGGTCTAGACCTATATTTTATAGACCAGTCGGTACAAGATGGGTGATGTGGTCAGCATCACGCCGGACGCATTTACTTCCCGTGACTCCAATCCGGTACCCACTACGCCACGGCGACTCCCGTATCAACAATGGCTAAGAGAAACACTTCAAAGTCCCATATTTTGCCTAATCTATGCCATAAACTGGTAGCACTGTCGAGACCATCATGTTTCCTTGTCCTTACAATGGTAATATTTTGAAAACGAATCAACTGCTACGATAGGTGTCAGAAATTTGGCACTCCAGCCTTTGAGCGCCCTCCCCCTCCAAAATACTCAAAAAAGAAAAAAACGAACAACCCCCCCCCCCCCCCCCCCCGGACCCCACACCATGACATATTTATAAATGACCACCTATCTCAACCATGTATACAAATTATCTTTCAAGTTTTTCCTCTCTAAATATATTATATATATATTTGCAATGAGCACAATAAAAATAGTATTACTATTACGCACTAAAAAAAATTTAAACCCTGTGAGGGTCACCTCACCACCTCACCCCCCTCACCCCACCCACCGAAGAAATGTCTTCGTAGGGGTAGTGTCAGAAATGTGGTCGAATGAACTGATACGTTGTCGAACTGATACACCGAACAGAATGGGAGAACATTGAACAAAATGTATTGGGTTATCGTTCGAAACTATTTTGATCTCAAAAGACCATTAGGTACTGTTGAATTCATTCAAGAAATTACAAACAGGCCATTATTTTTGGAAGATAACAGGCGAAACGGGGACACTTTCTTTCTTGAACAAAGGATCAACATCGTGGCCCACGGGTAGTAACCCATAAGTGCTCCGTTCTTCTTCTAACTCAAGTCTGAGTCCGAAGAAGCTCGGCACAGGCTCTGTAGCACCAGCGAAGATCCTGAAATACTTTGGTAGATTTTAACCTAAAATTTTTGGCTGGGCAGCGGCGTTAGGCTACTTTTGTTTCGATTTCCAATTGCGAAAACATTTAATTTTACGTGCGCAACAATCCGATCCAACTACCCAGAGGCCAGAGGAAATTACTATAAGTCCAAGTCTACGTGAGAAAAATCACAGCCTTTACCGAGGACTGAACCCGAAACCTTTACTACTCGAGGCGGAACCCATGCCTCGAGACCAAGCAGCCCGTCCCCTTTCCCCAAACTATACTAACAACGTTGATACCGGGACATGGAGAAACGTCCGTCTGGCGTGTGACTGTGTTCAAGACGGGAGACATTGGAAAAATACAATGGTCAAGATTAGGTACCTCTGGAAGTATATCCAGAGATAGACGACATGCACGTACCTGCCCAGTAATTAACCCGTCTTCATGGGTTGATTTCAAAGTCTCGTCTATTCCTAGAGTCTCTCCGGCTGCATCTGTGCAGGAAAATACCATTTCATTGGGCTGTATACAACCTTTGGCTACCAGCAGTCTTTCGCTATCAGTGGTCTTTGACTACCAGTAGACCTAGACTAGCAGTAGGCTTTAGCTACTAGTAGTTTTCACTATCAATAATACGTTGACTATCAGTAGTATGTTGGCTACCAGAGGTTTTTGACTACCAGTAGTCTGCCAGTAACATGTAACTGACAGGAGTCCTTTACAACCAGCAGTATTTTTTAAAATAATTATTATCAATTTTCGCTAACTAACAGGTTCTAAGAATATCTTGGGTAAAGAAAAGAACAAATGCATCCATACTTCAAGAGCTGAATATTGAAGAGGGTTGGCTAGTAAAGACAATAAAACAAAGAAAATTGAAATATTTTGGTCACTTGAAACGTCATGGAAGTCTAGAGAGAACAATAATGGAGGGGTATATGCCTGGAAAGAGAGGAAGAGGAAGTCCAAGGAGAAGATGGGTGCAGGATGTGGCAGATGATCTCCAGATGGGTGTATCAGACGCAGGACATCTTGCTCAGGATAGGAAGGTTTTCCGGAGGGTTGTTATGGCAGCGAGGTTCCGCGAGGGACATGCTACTGAATGAATGAATGAACAGTAGCCTGTGGATTTCAGTAATCTGTGGCTACCACTGGTTCGGGGTTACAGTAGTCTGTGGCTACTAATAGTTTATGGTTACCAGCAGTCTGTGTCTACCAGTGGTCTGTGACTACCAGCAGTTTGTGGTTACCAATAACCTTCGGCTACTAATAGTATGAGGCTACCAGTCCATGGTTACCGGTAGTTTGTGGCTACCAGTAGCACATGGTTACCAGATACTGTCGTCAGGTTGTGGCTCGCTAGTGCTAGGTCTATTATGTGCCATTTCATCATGACTTTGAATGATTTTCATTCCCAGACAATTGAAAGAACAATTTTGAAACTTATCAGGTAACAACCTTCTTCCACTTCAGTTCTCTTTCGAGGGTCATCATTCAAACCCAGTTATGCATCTCAGAGTGTCAGGGTTCTGTGTGGCTATGAGATGACAGTGTAGGATGATGGTGAATAGTGGACTGAGTACTTATTTGACCGCGTAGTGACTGAGTGTTCAATAACACACGGAGACCTCGACTAGAGTAGTGTGACAGGTGAATTAACTATTCCCCGAGTTCATGAGAGGTACTTTCGTATTAGCGGGGTCTGTACACCCCGTTAATAGCTCTAATTTATAACACTTTTCTCAGGGCATTCAATTTGTCGCCTATATTTTAAATAGTGATTGCGTCTCCTCTTATTTATTTTTATCCGAGATATTTAAGTAACCAATCTCAATAATAAAAGGGTTAAAGTAACGTTAATCTCCCCCAAATAGATTAGGTCACTTTTCATTCCCAAGTTTGTTGGGCTGGTCGACTTCCTGAAGGTACAGGTGTGTAACGCTCTGCTATTTGCTTCCTGTGTTGTCCTGCATTTACGTTTTTATCCCGAGCAAGAGAATGCCCGTGAGTTAGGTTGCAGCACTCTCTGGAAAAAGGGGTTAGGGGTGTAAAGTCCAGTTGTTCCATGTTTTTTATAACATTAAAAGCACTGGCGTGCTGAAATATACAACACGCGCTATCACCGGCATCGCGACACACCCCGTAACATTGTGCCAAGGTGACGGGTTCAATAACTACCAATCAGAAGTGACCTAGAGTGTAAATGGGCGGGGCGTGGGGAGATTAACGTTACGTGTAGAAATAAAAGAAACTGGAGACGGAAGGTAGCATTATTAGAGAGTAATGGATCTTGAAAAATTATCAACTTCAAACCAGGCACTTTAGAAGCTGTGGTGGACACTGTAATATCATAGCTACGCCTTCACTTATTGTGTATCAGTTCTGGGAAGCTGAAGTTATGCAATATTATTCCGAGGCCTTTCCCCGGGTGGGTTCTGGTGTCCCATTGTGGGGGAAAACATAGACTCACTGCCTGCCCAAATACATGTAAGACTGGGACTTTAGTCGAAGTCGGAGTACATCTGCCTAAGAGGCAAGGAACTAACAGTCTGCATGCAAATGATTCAGACGGGCGCACTTAAGTTACGGAACAAGAGTAAAGTCCACATAGGGTTTTTGTGTTAAGTAGTTGTATGCAGGGCTTGGACGTTGAAAATAATAGAAATGTCTGTCATTGTGCATCATGTCCGACACAATTTTTTTTTCAAGCCCACCCTTGCTGTTGTCAGGGGCCCTAATATAACCCAACCTATGGGTTGAGTGGGGTTTCTGGTACCTGTGAGCCTCATCCGAATGGTGACACTTTGTGTAACGGGGTGTTTATCGCTCCGTGTGATGTCCTAGTAGGGTTGAACCTCAGTCAGTCAGTCAGTCAGTCAGTCAGTCAGTCAGTCAGTCAGTCGGTCATTGTATACCTTGATATTTGACCGATGAACTTGTCATCTTGTCTTCATACTGTCGCCTTCTCATTTCGATTTCAATTTCTACTCTTTTCTGCTGCATCATAGCTTCCTCTAGAACCTGCATCTGATACTGGCGTTTTTGGTGCCACTGTTGTCTTCGTCTTGTTTCCATTAACTGTTGCTTGTACTGTCTCATAGCATCCACCTTGTTCAGCTGAGAATGGGAAGAAACAATTTTTTAAATGTATTCGACGGACTGCCCAACTTGTGTCTAACTACAGTCATTGTTGCTGGAACTACATCTACGTAGTTCAGCTGAGAATGTAAAGAAACAGTTTTTTAAATGTATTTGGCGGACTGCCCAACTTGTGTCTAACTACAGTCATTGTTGCTGGAACTACATCTACGTAGTTCAGCTGAGAATGTAAAGAAACAGTTTTTTAAATGTATTTGGCGGACTGCCCAACTTGTGTCTAACTACAGTCATTGTTGCTGGAACTATCTATATCTACCTAGTTCAGTTGAGAATGTAAAAAAATAGTATTTAAAAAAAAATGTATTTGACAGTCAACCCAACTTGAGTCTAACTACAATAAATGTTGTTTGTACTACACCTACCTTGTTCAGTGGAGAATGTAATGACATTTTTTTTTCTATCTGTTCGACGGACTACCCAGCTTGTGTCTAACTACAAATAAATGTTGCTTGTACTATATCTATCTTGTTCAGTTGAGAATGTAAAGGAATTGTTAGGGGGAAAAATATATTCGACGGACTACCCAACTTGTGTCTAGCTACAGTAAATGTTGTTTGTACTATATCTACGTTGATCAGCTGAGAATGTAGAGAAATTGTTAGATGCGAAATCTATTCGACGGACTACGCTACTTGTGTCTAACTACAACAAATGTTGCTTGTATTGTCTCATGGTGCCCTCCTCTTTCAGCTGAGAACGTAAATGAAGTTTCGAAAAAGAAATATATGCGACGGACTACCCAATTTTCGTCTACCTACAATAAATATTGTTTGTACCGTCTTATGGTGTCCACTTTGTTCAGCTGAGAATGCAGAGAAATTGTTACAAACAAATTTTATTCTTTGGACTTTCCAACTTTTGTCTACCCGCGGTACCCGCTTGTGTTCTCTCGATTTACAATTTAACCAGCTGTACCAATAAATCGATTACTAAGACTGCCCTCCTCTTGTTTACCGCCCAGTTGCATACAAACATGTATGTAAAGAAATCCACATGAGTACGTTCCATTTCATCAGCAAGCGAATATACAGTCATTCATCATCATCATGTAGCAGGTCCTTTGCAGAACGTCGCTCTCATCACAGTCTGCCTGTAAGAAACTGTCTCTTGCCAGTTCTCCCGCCTCATTGCCAATCAAGTTCTCCCGCCCTCATGAACTTTTAAGATGTCAATATTTCTCATCTCAAGGATTCACTTATATCCTGTGCCCAAGAGACTCAAGGAGTTCGTGTCGTGTCGGTCTCTGCCCCTCCTTCCTGGTTACCATGCCTTCTGCTATAATTTTTTCCAGTCCGTCGTGGCGCTTGATATGACCAAAATATTTCAGCTTTCGAGAAAGGATGCTGTTTATTAGCCAATCTTCCTTGATATTCACATCTTTTAGGATGTCAATATTTCTCATCTTCTTTGTCCAAGATATTCTGTAAATCTTTCTATAGCATTTCAGCTCAAAAGCCCCTTTACTCTTTCTTCAGGACTGAAGAGATAGTCCACGACTCACATCCATATGTAGCCACAGGGAAAATACATGCTCTCAAAATTCTAATTTTGATCTCCTTGCTGGTGCTTAATCATAGACTTTTAAGACTGTTCAGTCTTTGCATTGCTATGGCCATCCTCCTTTTAATTTCCGTCGAACAGTCTCCATTGTTGTTTATTATAGAGCCTAGATATTCAAAGTTTGTGACATTTTCAATTTCCTCACCATTTATTGTTATTTTTGGGTGACAGCCAGTTTTATCTATGGACATTATTTTCGTTTTCTTTAAATTCAAGAACAGATTTTGATCTCCACTGCGCTTTTGGACTACAGTCATTACAAAACTTAAATACCAATTCATCACCAAATGTATACACCAGTTCACAAACAAACGCAATAATAAGTTCATCAAACATGGCGCATAACAAATTCGCCAACAAAAGCACTTAACAGATACACCATCGAAGGCAAATAACAAATTCATCAACAAAAGAGAGGCACTTAAAAAAATCATTAACAAAAGGTCATAAATTCATCTACAAAAGCAAAGAATAACTCCTCAGCAAAAGCACATAACAAATACATCAATATAAGCTCTCAACAAATGTCCCAACAAAAGCACATAACAAATACATCAATATAAGCTCTCAACAAATGTCCCAACAAAAGCACATAACAAATACATCAATATAAGCTCTCAACAAATGTCCCAACAAAAGCACATAACAAATACATCAATATAAGCTCTCAACAAATGTCCCAACAAAAGCACATAACAAATACATCAATATAAGCTCTCAACAAATGTCCCAACAAAAGCACATAACAAATACATCAATATAAGCTCTCAACAAATGTCCCAACAAAAGCACATGACACATTCCTCGGCAAAAGCACACCACAAATCCATCTACAAAAGCAAAGAAACATTTCTCGGGAAAAAAAACCACACAACAAATTCATCAGCTAATGCACTCAACAAATGTCTCAACAACAAGAAAGCACTCAACAAATGTCTCAACAACAAAAAAAAGCACTCAACAAATATCCCAGATGACACATTCCCCAACAAAAGCGCGTAACAAATTCATCAACAGGCCTATGTACCAGCTATTTGTCTAGCTGTATGTCATCCAGTCCTCTAAGTCCGCTGTCTGCATAGCTATCTGCTTGTTTTTTCGCCTTTCAGTCTGTCTACTCATGCTTGTACAACTGTCTGTCTAAATTTGTCTGGTCTAGTCACCTATCGTCGAATACCTACGAGTTATCTATATCTAGTCTACGTCAATAGAAGTGAATTATGGACAAGAGGGAACCAATAAGTGAAACATTTCTTTCTATGTGGAACAGTTCAATGAAAGGCATTCATTGTAAAGCCTACAGATTTCTTCTTCTTCTTCTTCGCGTTCACCAGCTGTACACTCTGGCGGAAAGTTCTGGTTGCTCGTCCACTACTGAACTGCAGTCCTGCTCCAGAACCTGTTGCGTGTGCATCAGTTTTACAGATCTCATTCTGTTGAATACAGACTGTTGGTTCCTTGCCTCTCCAGCAGATGCACTCCGACTTCAAAGGAAGCTCCCAATTAGTCGACTCTTACGACATGCCTTTGGGGAGGCAGTGGGTCTATTCTTGTTTTCCCCACAATGGGGCCCCGGAACCCACACAGGGGCCTACAGATATTATATTCATGTGTCATGATAGCATAGAGAAACAGGAAGATCTAGAGTCTAGAACAGCAGTTCTCAACCTAGCGGTCGTAACCCTTTTTGGGTCGAACGACCCCTTTACAAGGGTCACCCAAGACCATATGAAAATACGTATATATTTAAGTTTTGAAGTAGCACTAATATGAATTGTATGGTTATGGTCTCCACAACACGAAGAACACTGTATCAAAATGTCGCCAGAACCTGAAGAACTGTATTAAAGGGTCGCGGCGTGAGGAAGGTTGAGAACCACTGGTGTAGAGGTATGACGGAGGGGTGGCATTGTGGCCTAGGAAAATATCCCTTTGCAAAATTATTGGCGAGACGTGACACAAAGTACAGACACTAAACAGAGATAACAGATTCACACCTTTTCTTGGGCTTCGAGTTCAATCTGAAGTACTTTTTGATCATGTTCCTTTCGAGCTATTTCTTCCTTCTCTCTGATCTCCCTCTGCTTCTCCATCCACCGTTCTCTTCTTTTCTTTACCAGCTCATTGTGAGCTTTCCTCTCCTCCTCGAGTCGCTTTTGCTCTTTCTCAGCTTCAACAGCTTGTTTTCTCCAGAACCTATAGAGTTTGTGAATGATAAAATTATTGCTACAAACATAGCAGCATATCTTTATAAGCTGTTGGCTTTAGCTGTATTTATAAGTGCTGTGTGAGTCAGATTCAACCCCACCAGGACATCCACCAAGCGACAAACACCCGGTGACACAAAGTGCCACCATACGGATGAGGATCACCCCGGGAGAGGTCCCAGAAACCCCGTTTAACAGTTAGGTTATATTAGGACCCCCCGACTACAGCCGGGGTGGGGCTTTAAAATTACCCAAAAATTGCGTTCCGCATCGGGACGACGGTTCGAATACAATGTAATTGCTCCTCCCCCCCCCCCCCCCCCCCCCCCTAAACGTCTTATTTTATCCTAAACCATTAAACAAAATGTTTACAATATTATATTTCGACAGTCATCTTTCTTCTTCCTTTTCTTGCGTTCCCCGGCTGAAAACTCTGATGGAAAGTCATGGTTGTTCTTCCACTTCTAGACGTTGGTTCTGTTCCAGAACTTGAGTTTGCACTCTCTTGCAACATTATTGGGAGTGGTGACTCAAGAGGCTTCAGCTTTCATTTTCCAGCGCCTATACATATTTTTGCATGTATTATACATTGTTATTGTTTGTGTCACCTCCAAAAGCCAGCAACACATGGACGGACATACCGCTCTGCTGAGCACGACATAGAATGAAGACAACTTTTGGAAGCAGACGAACTAGAGAAAGTAAAATAAGAGTGAACGACCCTTTCCGCGTCCTGGAAACTATTGGGTGTGTATAAATTCTTCTTCTTCTTCATCTTCGCGTTCACCGGCTGTAAACTCCGGCGGAAAGTTCTGGTTGTTCGTCCACTTCTGGACTGCAGTCCTGTTTTAGAACCTGAGGGTTGCGTGTGCATTCGTTTGACAGATCTGTATGCAGACTGTTGGTTCCTTGCCTCTCAGGCAGATGCACTCCAAATTCTAAGAAAGCTCCCAATTAGTCGACTCTTACGACATGCTTTTGGGTAGGAAGTGGATCAATTCTTGTTTTTCCCATAGAAACCCACACGGTGGGGGGGGGGGGGTGTATAAATTAAAGATCCTTTTTTCACGCCTTTGGGCCCATCGGGCACATGGGAAGACCACCCATATTTTACAGACCAATCTGCACTAGGTCGGTGTGGTCAGCATTACGCCGGCTGTTTTTACTTCCCCAGAACATACATCATGGTACCCATTTTAGGCTGGGGCCACCTGCGACGCCCCAAACCATGATAAAAATCCACGCAGCCAGAATTGTGTTTCGATCGCTGTATGCTGGAATTACCAGATGGGCTCGCAACGCCTAAGCCATGGATGCCGCTCGGGTATGTACAGCTAGACCTACATTTTATAGCAGATTCGGTGCTTTATTAATATCCTACCCCCAGATGACATCACATGTCAGTCCAAGATTTTAGAGGGTGGCTTTCTGATGGTTTTAACGACCCCAAGACATCTACAACTGGCCCTGATCCCAACCGACCCACGTTCCACAAGAGAGCGTGCAGCCTAGGTCCCTCGACTGCATGCAGCTTATCTACCACCCCTGGAAATATTAGATTGTTCCCTGACCTGTGGATTTTCTCTGTCTGAAGTAGGATATTATTAAAGCACCGCGGATTCAAATACGCAAGTAGAAGGGTGATATTTTTTTATGACCTTGGCTTCCAGACTAACCCAGTCTTAAATGGGTACCAAGTAAAAGTGATGGCGACCGGCGTGATACTGACCCATTTCACCCACCGAATGACACATGGTCTATAAAATATAGGCCTAGCCCTATATGCCTTCCATGTGTGGGACCGTGACCCATTGTGGGGAAACACAAGAATAGTCGTAAAAGTCGACTAACTGGGGACTTCCTTCGAAGTCGGAGTGCATCTGCCTGAGAGGCAAGGAACCAACAATCTGCATACAAATGTAAGATCTGTAAAACGGATGCGCACACAAAACTCAGCTTCTAGAACACGATAAAAGTCCAGAGGTGGACGAACAACCAGAACTTTCCTCAGCTGGTAAAGGCAAAAAACTATATGCCCAAAACGCCTAAATGTATGGAGAAGGGTCGTTTGTGAAAACATACGGTTCGATGCAGACTTGAACCCACTACCTTCGGGCTTGCAAGCGAGCGTCAAGCTGCTATACTACAGCGGCTGCCTACGCCAAAACTGCCGACCAGGAAGGGAGGTTTTTTAGCCTGAGGATTTACGGCCGCATGACTAGTGCTGTCGCCACGGACTGTGCAGATGACAAAGATGTCTCCCGCTTGAGAACCCAGCCTTCTCACCTTTCGGCCAGCCGCTGAAGGCAAACATTATAACTTGGATGTTACCGTCAAGAAAAATGGAATGAGAATTTGACTGTTAAAGACAGACTTCTTCTTCTTCTTCTTCGCGTTCACCAGCTGTAAACTCTGGCGGAAGGTTCTGGTTGCTCGTCCACTACTGAACTACAGTCCTGCTCCAGAACCTGAGTGTTGCGTGTGCATCAGTTTTACAGATCTCATTTTCTTGAATACAGACTGTTGGTTCCTCGCCTCTCCGGCAGATGCACTCCGACTTCAAAAGAAGGTCCCCAATTAGTCGACTCTTACGACATGCTTTTGGGGAGGCAGTGGGTCTATTATTGTTTTCCCCACAATGGGGCCCCGGAACCCACACGGGGGCCAGAGACAGACTAAATCGACAGGCATGCTCCGTACAGAGTGGCAAGCATCACTTCAAAAGTCTCGGGTAGTTAGCCCCCCTCTGGATATTTTATCCAGGTCATGCCGATGTGCTTGGAAATAAGCAGGCAGATAGACTGGCCGGTTCTGCACCACTTGGTGGTGAACTGATGTATGACAAGCTGTATATTATAAAGGCCCTTTGGGAGCGAGTGAACAGTACCGAGGCACAGATAGATCATTACGGTCTGAGGATAATGGCACTGCGAGAAGTTACAAAGGGATCTGGCCGACGCTCGACTCTCAGGGGAAAGGCGAGACTGATATACAATCAGACAGTTACTGGTACCATCGAAATTTAAACTCTACGCTTGCTGCTGAAGATGGGGATGGAGCACTTATGGGGGTGTCCCAAGTGCTGTAATGTCGATTCCTAATTGAACATTCAACATTCAACAGACTTAATCGAGAATGTTACACCCTAAGACAAATGTAGAGAAAAGAAAGGGTAACATCAAGAAACAGAATGTTAGACTGAAAGGATTTAGCGAGAGACAATCATCGTTGTGAAGACAGCAAAAGTTAAAACTCATTGACAATAGTATCCGTGTTAGGGTTTACTCACTGTTGCTGTTTTTCCTCCTCTGCCTCCTTCAACATCTGCTGCGCTTTCAAGCTTTTACATTTCACCTCTACACTAACAAGTTCTGCCTTCATTTTGGTCTGCCGCAATATCAGGTTTCTGTTCTCCGTTGCCTGGTGAGATATAATAGGAGACACCCGTGGTTTTTATGCAGTGTTCGAAATTAAATATATTTTCTTCTTCTTCTTCTTCTTCTTCTTCTTTTTCTTTTTCTTCTTCTTCTTCTTCTTCTTCTTCTTCTTCTTCTTCTTCTTCTTCTTCTTTCTTCTTCTTCTTCTTCTCTTCTTCGTCTCTTTCTTCGTCTCTTCTTCTTCTTCTTCTTCTTCTTCTTCTTCTTCTTTATTTCTCTTCTTCTTCTTCTTCTCTTCTTATGTTCTTCTTCTTCTTTCCTCTTCTTCTTCTCTCTTTTCTTCTTCTTCTTTCTTCTTCTCTTCTTCTTCTTCTTCTTCTTCTTCTTCTTCTTCTTCTTCTTCTTCTTCTTCTTCTTCTTCTTCCTGTTAGCGTTCAACGCGTGTGTAAACTCCAGGCGAAAAGCTCTGGTCTTTAGTCTTGTTTCAGAACTTACATTTTGTGTGCACATCCATATTAGTAATCTAGCTTGTTTGTTTGCAGATTGCTGCTTCCTCGTCTCTCATTCACATTCGCTCTGGTTTCGAAGGTAAAAAAATCCATGTCTTTGTTCTTTTCGGTTTTTTCACTTCATCGGGTGTGAGATTTTGTACGGAATTCCCCCGGATAGTCCCATACTCTCGTTTGTCGTATGAATGAAACCTACACAAAAATGTTTTGGCTTAGTTCGACAGGGTCGACACACTGTCGCCCACTCGAAAGGGAGCAGCTTTTTTTCCCCTCCTACTTGAAAGTGAATAACTCTTTTCTCTGAACAACTGTTCAAGGGTTATGTTAGAGGCAGCATTACTGACAGGTCAAGGAAATTCGTGATGACGGCCAAGTCATGAAATGAGAACAGCGCTTCCACACTGGACAGAATGAGGGCGATAACACTCCGAAGTCCTTTGTAAGCAGTAATTGTCTTTGCAATTCTGCTCTAACTACATTTCCATCTGACCGTTAGTATAGGATGTCTTTGAAGATTAATCCTGAAATGTCAGTTTCACCATCATCTGTGTCAATCACTGTCATGAAGCTACAGTCTATGTGTATGAGAGCCTGTTGTATAACAGGAGTGTATGTGTGAAAGGAGTTAATGTTACTAGCTTAGCGACAGAAGTCATCTACGAAATACGTACTGGGGTAAGTTCATAAGCGTTTGGATCCTATCGTCATTTCCACCCCCCCCCCCCACCTCAGCGTGTGGCGACAGATAACACTAGTTTCAGACGACAGACGCCAAATACTGACAACAGACACCAGTTACAGACAACAGACACCAGTTATAGACAAGAAACACAGCCACCAGTTACACACAACAGACAACAGATGCAAACAACAGACACGGACAAACATACCCTGGTAAGAGTCTCCGGCTCCTTATTCTTAATGAGAGCTTGGCGTCTCAGAAAGTTCCGGTAATTATTGAAATCTCGAACAGTGCAAGGTACCTTCCCACTTGGAGTCACAAGATTCTGTTCCAACAGCTGTATCAGTAAAGGAACTGTAACTTCAGCTCGTGTATATGCTGTACAGGTTCATGTTTCACATTACACGAGCAACAAAGTTTGGACACAAATTATGCCAACAGCAAGCAGCAAATATTATGGACATCTAAAAACATTTCATGCAAGACAAAGAGCACTAGCTATTAGTACATTGACATATGGCTTTGAAATGTAGACATTAACAGCTGAACATGAAAGAAAGATACAAGCATTAGAAATGCGATGTTTCAGAAACATTCTTGGCATATCAAACAGAGACCACATTACAAACCATGAAGTTCGCCATAATATTATACAGCACACTGGCAAATATGAACCTCTTTTAAATACGGTGAAAAGTCGAACAATGCAATGGTATGGACATGTTATAAGATTTAACGGCCTCTCAAAACAATACTGCAGGGCTCAGTAGAGGGAAAGAGGAGAAGAGACCGACCAAGAAAGACCTGGTTACAGAACCTAACTGGCTCTACAGGCCTCAGGCATGCAACCATGAAGTCCATTGCAACAGATCGCCAAAGGTTGAGAGAGCTGATCAGACAGTCAACATAAACTGGTGACCCAACGACACGTAGTGTTACGGGATGATGATGATGATGATTATGCCAACACTCGGGGGGCTTGCGTCCTGACAGAGCCGGACTATTTTCAAAAATAACCTTGACCTTCAGGTCGATCCAGCCTTGAGTGGGTACCAGGTGCCATTCTAGCTGGCGTGATGCAGACCACATCACCCACCAAGTGTCGATGGGTCTATACAACATAGGGTCCAGCCCTATATTCTTAAAGGCGTGAAAAAGAGTCCTTCACTTTGCCAACACGATGTGCCTTTAGTCGAGAAGAGCACCAAGTATGACTCTCTCAACATCCGAAGCGGTAAGATAGGATGTAAGAAGAAGAAAAAGAAGAAGAAGAAGAATATTATGCCAGCCGATTTTGCAAAGTTAATATATCGTCATCATCATTAACAACATCATCATCACCATGGTCATAATTACCACCAGTTTCCACTTTTCCCTTAAAAGTTTTGGGAAGAAACAGTTTGTGCCCAACGGTCGAGGGGTGGCGCTGTACATCGTTATTATGTGTCAATGAATAAACGCCTTTAATGGCATAAATCTTCCTTGTCTGATGAACAAAAATATCGGCGTGTTAAGTACGCAAAAGACATCATCAAACCGTGTCATATAAAAAAACTTTTCTTAAATTTGATTCTTGTACAGGATGAAACATGTATTTTCGGCTATGAACCCACACCTAAATGCCAAAGTGCTCAGTGGAAGTCATCGTCATCATCCCCAAAAGGCAAATAATTCCGTATTCAAAAGTCGAAAATGAAGACAATGTTGGTGTGCTTCTACGAAAGCAAAAGAGTAATTCATAAAGAATTTATTCCAGAGGGATAGACTGTCACAGCCACAGTTTATTCAAGTATTTTGAAACGCCCTTTTGAAAAGGATTCTTCAAGTCCGACCTGAGTATTCAAAACCTGGCAGTTTTTTTGCCTTCTTCATGACAATCCTCCGGCTTAACTGGCCGGTAACTGCACAGTTGTAAAAATTGTTAAAAGTGGAACATGAACTTTGTGACCTTTAACGTACATTGGTGAGGTTATGCCAGCTGGATTATCAGTCCTTACTTTTGTTTTATCTCTGTTTATTTCCGTGCCACAATTAGTCGATGTTTCATGGAGCAGATTTACAAGCTCGTCCAGCCCGTTTTCTTCCCCTGCCAACCCATCGATGTCATCTACAAACCTTAAGTTTGTTATAGTTCGACTAAATGACACTAAATGGGAGGCTGCCTCTCAAGTCCGAAATGCATGGCGTGCAGCTCTACACAAGGGCGTGGCTACATGTGAAGCAAACAGAACAGCAAGACCGATTAAGAAAAGGATGGACAGAAAGGCGACTGTACGAGATCCCCTCCCTAGCACAACGCTCATTTCATGTCCTCACTGTCCAAGAACTTTTCGGGCCCGCATCGGCCTCATCAGTCATCTTCATACACATATTTGATGAATAAGAGTGGTCATCGTCATCTTGATGGAAAACACACACACACACAGACACACACACACAGACACACTAACTGTCCCATAATGTTGTTCCAGGGCGTCAGTCATAATTCTTTCTAAGAAGATATTAAACAGTTTTGGACAGAGGAGGTAGCCCTACGGTTATTTTAAAAAAAAAAAAAAAAACAGAAGGAAAGTCAGCAGGCAGACACGCACATACCTGTTTTCTGATGTGTGGTTTTGCCAAAAAGTCCTTCAGATATGGATCACGCAACGCTGTGTACTCAGTCTGCATAGTTCGATTGTAGGGGTCAGAAAGATCAAAGGTTTCATGTTGGGTAGATCTGTAGGCCTACATACGAGGGGGGGGGGGGGGGGACAAGTTATTCTTAATCCGTGTGCTGTCCACTGGGTGCCATATTTAATGTGTGTAAGATAAACTTCATGGTTAAAATATCAAATGCATACTCACAAATTATGTGTATGGAGGATTGAGCAAATACTGAATTCCTTGATTGGAGCTAAGAATATGTGATTACAAAAGCATGTTTAGAACTAAAATACGTCATGGAAAACCATGACTACAGCTTAAAACACGTAAATAAAAACCACTCTTCCAAGCCTTTGATGTTGATTGCGGCTGATATCACCCGTCCCCCTTCATCCGATTTCCTAGCTTAGTTTTAGTTTTAATCTTAGTCTTGTTTTAAGATAAATACGGTATTTATAACAGAAAACGACAAGTGGCTTACCGGTTGGCATATTTTGGTTGTTACAAATGTCATTTCATCTTTAGCAGCGGGGATGACGGGAAATTTGGCATCCAGTGGCAGTGTCTGCCAACGTGGCAGAGGGGCGCTAGATTCGGGAACCAACAGTTTCACACCTTCTGGTTCTGTTCGCATCCTGGGCAGGAGGAGTCTGTCCAGGCTTCTTCTTTCACTCATGACTGATGGCCAGAATGAGTAGCTACTTACTTACTGCTTCCTGTCTGGGTGAAACATGCACAAGTGTGACGTATCATTATGTAGAGCAGAAAAACAACATTAAAAGGACTTGTTCAGTCCCTTTATTTTAAAACTGAAACAACATTAGAATTTAAATTAACATTAATTTCTTGCAGTGGATAAATTATGGAACTCTACTGTATTATTAAAGGCGTCCTCTGTGGAATGCATTTTTTTTTTTATTTGAAGCCCCACCCTGGCTTCTGACGGAGGCCCTAAATATAGCCTGGGCGTAAATATGGCCTAGCTGCTGAAAGGGTTTCTGTGACCTCTCCACAGGTAATCCTCATCAGCATGGTGGCACTTTGTGTCACTGGGTGTTTATTGCTTGTGTGGTGTCCTGGTCGGGTAGCAACTACCTACCTAGCTAGAACTTTAAAGTACATAGTTATAAAAGCTAAGTTACGTATTTTCATTTCTTATGTTATTCCAGTTTTAACACATGCCGGTGAAAGCCCAGAGAATCAATTAAAACGGGGAACAAAAGTTAAATGATTAGAAAAAAAAAAAAAAAACAATGTCTGATAAAAATGGGGAACATAAAACTGGATGCTTTCAAAAGGAGTGAAGAAATAAGAGAAATGTCTGGGCAACGACAAGTAATAACAGTTATAATATAGAGAAGATAGCGCTATATTGGACACATCCTGAGAACAGACGAAAAGTGACTCGCCAGTCACTGGAATGATAAATACAGGCCTTTAGGAAACGAAGATGTCCAAAATAAATTCCAAAGTAGTGAAAGCTGATGAGAGAGCCAGAGGTTTGGAATGGATTCCTTCTCTGATATCGAGGGATTGCAAGTGAGAGAACGGAGTGGAGAAATAGACTGCTGGCCAATGTGGCATATAATTGCACAGAAGGGGACAGTGATGACCTTCAACCTTTTGAGGTGTGTATTCGGCGTAAAGTGCCGATGGGTTAGCTCGTTCATCGAAATATCATGTTTCTGCTGTGCTGATTTGTCATTCTTTTTCCGCTTCCTGCATAGCGCTCTAGTCTGGTCTCCACCCTTTTGACTTGAGGTTTTCGAAATCTGTTCATAGTTGCAGATACAGAACCATTACATCTCTCAAACGTCTTACTTTCCGTAGAGCAGTAGAATATCAGATACAGGCGCCAAAACCTCGAGGCCCCGCCAGGTTTTCCGTTCAAAAAAAAAAATAATTAACAACAACAAGGGATATGAATGGGGTGGGGAGGGGGAGGGCAGACTTTCAGCTCCCCATGTTTCTCAGCATGCTTTGTGAGTCAGTTACAATCACTGCACGTGTTTGCAGCTGGTTTTCAAGTCAGCAGAAGGCTGCAGTAACTGACCCCACCTTCATTCTCAAACTAGATGTAGTAATAATTTCCCAGGCTCTGTCGTCTATTCGCTGTCAGTATGAACCCTCACAAACGTTCTATGCTGCCTCTCAACTTTGTACCATCTATATAGGCAATCACATAACCTGGGCTGGAATTGCGGATGCTTTGGGGGGACTTCAGCTAACTAAGATGCGAGGACAAGACACCAATGAGAAAACCAGTCAATACTGTAACTTAAAAATCCTTTCTCTAGAACCCAGGGAGCAAAAACGAGAATGAGACTTAAAGTACATGCTCCAAAGTATTAGAGGCAGGGATTAATAATTACACAATACAGTTAAGTAGCTACAGAAGTCGGCAATAGTTCGTCGGGTTTCGCGTGAAGCAGCTCAGAGTCTAGGCTTCAGTGGTAAATAGACAGAAGATAAATCACCTACACAACACGCTTAGATCATACTATAATACCGCAGCATCTAGTTTCAGAATGGAGGTGGAGGCAGTCACCGCAGCCTTTCGCAACAGTTGACACATATGTCGTATTTGTAACTGACACACAGAGCACGACCGGCTCTAGAGAAGATTATGGACTGAAGCAGTCACTAACATCTTAAGACTGTATAACATCACGGCATGTCAAACGATCGAGCTCGCACATGGCTCGGCTGCCGATAGTCTGATGAACTGATACACCTAGCGGCAGAAGCAAATATTGACTCAAAAAAAAAAAAAAAGAAGAAGATTAATAATTTAAAAAAAATATATATATATATTACGTCTCATGAAAGAAAACAGTGGAGCCTTTGCTTCTACTAGCAGCAGCATGACAATGGAGGCTATGGCTGTGACAAAGGCCCTAGAATGGCTGGAAACCCACTTCACCAATACATGTTAGCTCAGAGCGACTCGGTGAGCATGCTACAGAATGAAGATCAAGGCGAAGTGCATACGGAAACAGGGGCTCCGTCTGATACAGCAGTCAGCGTTTCGCAAAATCTCCTTCATTGTTGTCCCATGGAATGCTGGTGTGAAGGGCAGTGAGAGAGCAGATGCTCTGGCTGGCAGTGCGACTATCTGGGATGTGCCCTCTATGGACAAGAGATCATCAATCATCAATACCATACGAGAGACAAACCCTATGATGCTTTCAGTTACACGGACAATGATTTTTCACTGAATAGACTGCATATCCTGGGTGTACCAGTTGGAGCGCGAGACACGAATACCATGAGGGAGACCCCGTGGTTACATCAGCCAAAACAGAATGGGAACTGTTAGAAAAAAACACTTGGACACACACTCAGGCAGGAAAAGATCGAAGAACTCATTGTCATATCCGATGAGCGAAGAAGATGATTTCAAAAAATGAACAGTAAACAGTGTACGTCTCAAGTAACAAACTTAGTGAATTCGTTTTATATCCGTATGTACTTGTATGTGTATTGTTAGCACAGCTGCTGACATTATATTCACAAACTGGTGTGTACAGCTCCAACACAAATTGAATGTACTAGACTACCGCTATTTTCTGCTGGCGCTGTTTGGTGCAAGGTGCAAGCAATTTTTATTTCATATTTATCCCTGCCCAAACCTATTCAGGAACTTCGCTATGATGACACAGTCCTCCTTTCGAACAGCGTGAAGGGAATAGAGAATTTAATATTGTCTGTCCAAAAGCACAATGAAGATCAAAATTTGTTCTTGAATTTAAAGAAAACGAAAATAATGTCCACATATAAAACTGGCTTTCACAATAAAATGATAAAGAAACTGAAAATGTCACAAACTTGAATATATAGGCTATATAACAAATAGCAATGGAGACTGTTTGATAGAAATTAAAAGGAGGATGGCCATTGCAAGCTCCCCAGTTAGTCGACTCTTACGACATGCTTTTGGGGAGGCAGTGGGTCTATTCTTGTTTTCCCCACAATGAGGCCCCGGAACGCACACGGGGGTGACAGAAACTGACTCACGACGAGAACTGATTGCCCACATCAGATAAAGACAGTCTACATTATATCATAAAGGCCTTCTACACCGATTCCCGCTGCCTTGTTAGAACGGAATCTGGTAACTCTGATTGGTTCCCAGTAGAAACAGGCGTGAAACAAGGATGTGTCTTGTTACCGATGCTTTTCGGAATAGCACTCGATTGGGTCATGCGCAAATGCACACAGGACACACATCTAGGCATCAAATGGGTCGACAAAGTTCTCGAAGATCTTGACTTTGCTGAAGACCTAGCACTCCTGAGCACAACACATATAGAAGCTCAGGAAAAAATGGACCGCCTCCAGAATATTTCAAGCCAAATCGGCCTTCAGGTCAACGCAGCCAAAACGAAAATCATCGATCTTACCAACGAGTCGAAAGACATCAAACTAAAGGATATTGTTCTTGAAAAAATCACCAGCTTCACATACTTACGGAGCAAGATAACCTCTGCGGGAGATACAACATCAGAAATAACGACTCGAATCGCGTTAGCATCACAAACTGTCAAACATTTGGAAGTCAAGATCACTCAGCAACAACACGAAACTTAAGGTCTTCAATTCCTGTGTGATCCCAGTGCTAACTTAGAGTTGTGAGAGTTGGAAATCATCAGTATCAATCGATAAGAAACTAGTCGCTTTCGAGAATAGATGCCTCCGAAAGCTATTGAATGTTCACTGGTCGGACTTTAGGTCCAATACATCTATAAGACAGGAAACAAAACAAAAATATGTGTCTGATTTTATTAGAAAGCGTCGCTGGAATTACATCGGTCACGTACTCAGAATGGACATACAGAGACTTCCCCACCAAGCCTTCATATGGTCACCAGAGGGTAAAAGAAAACAGGGAAGACCAAAAGAAACTCTCCGTAGAACCATCACAAGGGAGAGCTCAACCATAGGTCTCAGTCGCACTCAAGACCTACATCAAGTGGCAAAGAACCGACGGACGTGGAAAGCTATGACCTCTGCCCTATGCGCCATCTTTGGCACAAGAGGAATAACTAACTAACTAACATTCTATGGTACACTTTGATCAAAAGGCCGAAGCGACTTAGACATTCTATGGTCATGTGATGAGAAGGAGAAAACTAGAGTACGTCGTGACAGTAGGAAAGTTGGAGGGGAGAAGAGGCAGAAGTAGACCGAGAGAACAGATGTTGGACAGTTTGAGATCATGGCATGGAATATCATCTGTGTCAGAGTTGAGTGAAAGTATACGAAACAGAAGGTTGTGGAAAGACATGACTAATGTTGGACTGTTTGTGTTAGCACTTCGGATGGCTACCATATGCTTTAATGCGAGTGTATGCTAGATATGCTGAGACAGCAGTCTGTCAATCTTTCCACAAGGGACTGTGATAGACATTCTGAGTGTTTTTCGCTGGCACAGGAGCGGAGCAAAGATGGGGCAACCCGTTTGCTATGAAGCTGAAACTAAGACTACCAGACTACCAGACATGACTTCCAACGCCACACGACATGGACTTTAAAAAGAAAAAGATAATTGATTGGGTTTGTTTCCATGAAGAACAACATATTCTTTTACATTTTAGAATCTCCCGGGTCTAAATTAGAATGTTTTAAATGCATGTGTATAGTTCAGATTCACGTCTCCCATATATCGAATATCAT